AGATTTCTGTAGACCAAGATTAATTTTTAAATATATTGAAGTTACGCAGTAAGAACCAGCACTTTAATACTAAATTCATTCATACAGTGAGCATTAGCTTTATGTATATATATATANAGCCATTAAATTGGTGTTCAAAATAATAATAATATATATCTTGCATAAGTATAGTTGTATCTTGTTATTTTACCAATCACAAGCACAACTAAATATTTCTTTTTACTTTAAGTTGTAAATATTAATATTTATGGTTTCTTCAAGCACAATAAAAACATAGTTGTTGACTGTACGTTAGGCTCTGTTGAACCTAAAGTGCAATGAACTTTTTATTGAAAAAAACGTTCTTACCGAATCTATATGATTTTTTGACAAATTTGTTTGAAGTATAAAATAAATTATTGTTTTTAAAAATGTTCACCATCAAGTAGCATGGGCGTTGTGCTTGAACCGGGACGAACGCTTCTGTCACGATCATCAACTGTCCCAACTCTTGATCAGTCATTCCAGAGCCAACTTTTCGGCAACAGTTTTCACGATGATCGCGTCCACGGGGACTGCAAGGAAGCACGTTCGCAAGCTACCGCCTGGAGCAACACGGTTGGCATGTGATACGGGCAGGGACACAACTCCCTGACGGCTGGACCCTTAGGCCGCACACACCCAGATGACTTATGCGGACAATCACATGTACGTTAGGGTTATTATGCAGACATCTGCATAATTCTACTATGTTATTGATATATTTGTTAGAAGCAGGTGAAATCCGCATAAGTCACTACTCATCAACATATATATTTACACTAGGAGCCCCCGTCTCGGCTACGCCCGAGAATTACTAAATAAAACACCGTAGTGTGTTGACATGTTATGTAAAACGTTTTCAGTTAAAAATTTTACACATATTCCTCACACATCTTAGAACAAAAATCTTCTTATTAAAAAAAAATTTTTTTGGAATCCATATAGTTTATTTGGTCAACTAATAAGGTGTAAAAATTAAAAAAAAAATAATTATGCTGAAAAGTACCGTGCGTTCTTTATGCTATAAAATAATCAGTGGCCATAAGAAGCCGTTGATTTACAGTTTCTCCCGTGTAATTCATGAAAAGGGCTATTTTTTAAAACTGTTAAGATTTTAAACCCCCTAAAAATTTGTATTAAAAAAAATTTTTTTTTCTCATATCTCACATTTATTACCAGAACAACAAAGTCCTGGACCTCAAACCCTACATTTTCATTGCCACAAAAACACAAATACATTATCTACTTATTTAAAAATCTGAAGTAGGATCTGTAAAGATTTCATAGATTGCTGTGAGAATACAATAAAAATCTGATCTCTCACGTAATGGATTCTTTATTTGTCTATTATGACGCTGCTGCTTCAATCTCGATAAATTTTCTGCGTCAGTTTAGTGACGCCTAAGATTGCATTCATTAGAAATATTTGAAGTTTTTCTTCCAATTCATCCTCTTGCGACTTGTGGTGTGCTTAAAATTTTTGTGACCCCTCAAGGCTGTTTTCTGTCAACTTTGTTAAGTTTTAATATATTTGTTGACAAGGTAGTTCAACGTCCGATGGCCCCAAAAAAGACTGGTGAGCTTATTAAGTTAACTCTTTCATGACTGCAGTTAACAGCAATTGTGACTGCCAGGATACCTTAGGGTGATCTTCTCTGGCCTGCTGTTGAAAACCCAGACTTATCGGGAGAAAAATTACAAAGTCCGAAGCTTTGGGGCTAGTTGTAGTGCCCTTTCCCAACCTCTCCTGGTATAACGTTGAAGACATTGGTGTCTAAAGCACCTTTTTTATTTGCAGATTCAGTTGTTTTGGTGATCTTAGATGGGGAGATTGGTTAGTGATACTTGTCTAGTGGAGGTTGTCCCGTTGGCTTAATTTTTTTTTCCTTCATAGCTGTTATAGGTTTGCCCAGTACAGACTTTGGAGACGATCAGTGATTCCTGGTTAAGTGCTAAAAGTCGAGAGGGTAATATAGGGTCGTCGGTCACCGGATTTTCTAGCCTTGCGGAGAAAACTCCGCAGGTGACTTCTGCTAGTAAATGGCTCTTGGTTTAATAGTGCCCGTCTTTAGTTAATATAGTCTTTTAGTCGACAAATCGCTTCCATAAATGATAGTAAAAATGTATTTGTTGGCAAGGTAGCTTACACTTAGGTGGCCCCTAGGCAATTCTTTATTATCATTCCTGATGATAAAGAGCTGGCTACATGTATCTTGATTTTTACCCTGGGAGTCTCAATATACGGAGACTGTAATGGAGGGAGGTACGCCACTGACCAAAGAATATCTCGTCTTCGGGTCGTTTCCCGTATACCCAACTGCTCATTGTTAGACGGGAGCATGTGGGTAAGCGCGTTGGGGACGCGACGACCAAGAAAGTAGATGTTGTGTCTGCCCATGCCCCCTCAGAGCTGTTTTCCCTAGCTTTCATTTGTAGCCAAAAACTGTCTGACTGCACCAAGCGGGATGGTGGGACTGTCACACAACTCTCAAGAGTTAGTGCAGATTGTGCTCTGGCTAGATGTGCCTCCTGGTATTGTGCCGGAGACGTCATCGGTTAGAATGAGTTTTTATTTAATCGCACTCGTCGAGCTTCAGGTTGAATGGAAACCTAGGTCCTTTTCTCCTTACAGAAGAGTGTCGTCCGTAACCGGGATATCCAGCTGCAAGACTACCATCAGCACTCTCTATGCAGCTCGTTGAACTGCCAAGGCACAACTACATCACTATCGAAACGCTCCGGCGTATTATAACCACACTTCTTTAATTCTGTTGCAGGTAGCCTCGACTTTATGTCTATGCCACCTAGCGGATTTTACTGAACTTAAGTGAAATAAAGTATTTCTGCAAAACTTTGAGCTCATTCATTGCTATTGTTATTTAAGATAAGAACTATACTAAAACCATCTAGGAAGTATCATGAATCAGTGTGCAAAATTTCAGCAAAATTGGTTCAGTAGTTTTCGCGGTTAGCGATTGCAATCGTTTTAGCGACTTTGCTTTTAATATTAGTAAGATATATATGCTAACAACAATTAATTTTGCTAAACAATATCATTAATCTTCCAAGAAATTATATGATTTTCAATATCTATTCCTCCAGATGCATGATTTTTTAAGGGGACTCCTTTTTTACTCTAATAATTTCGTTTAATATCTGCAATAACCTAATTTGGCAATCTGGCTGCACTTTTCTATTTTTCCAATATCTAAGGGAAGATGGAAAAATCAAGCTCGCTACAGATATCTTCTCTCTTCTTGGCTCCAAAATGTTGGAAGAGAGCTTGAACTATGTCCGACATAGGTAACGGAGTTTGTGAGTCCTCAGGGCACAATCAACCAACTTACTCTCTGATCACTGTAGCAGTGAAAAAAATAAAACTTTTGTATTTTTTCTAATTTTCTCATTGACATGCCATAAAGTACTAACCCTTCATTGAACCAAACTTTTCATAGAAATGTTAAGTAATTTGTACAACTCTTTTTGCAAAAGGCTTAATTAAATAAAGAAACATAGCTTAGTACTTGTAAGTATAAGTAATGTATCATTGTAACGCCAATTTTAAGTCACCACGAAAAATTAGTAAAATCTGAGTGTAAAAGGGGAAGGAAGGACATGTGTAATTAAATCACTCTTTCTTTTCTTGACGCATGTAAAAGAGCAAGGTAGAAAGTGCCGATATTTAAGTGCCCAAACTAGATCTAGTAAATTAGATCGTTTGCTACTGTCTTTTTCTCAAGATTCTTTTTCAGCAAGCTTTTCTGCGTCATTTTTGAGCCAGAGTAAGACCAAACTCACTCCTAATAAAAGAGCCCCAACATCCTGAAAAAAGTTAGTTTTTATTTTTTCCTCGAACAGTTGACTTCGTAGTTAGAGTCTATTTCTGCTACTTCACGGTCCTCCACGAGTGAGTTCTGATTTTGCCTCAAACGGAGAACTCGCCAACTAAAATCTCTTTTTACCACCTCATGACCTCCACGATCCAACCTCATAAAAGTTACCTTTAAGTGTTCTGATAACTATTCTACAGACTTCACCAAGGTGCCTGGTTCACCTGACTGCTAAGGACCAAACTTGCTCATTCGCTGGCTCATCTGTGTATTGTTTAGAAATAGAAACTATCAGTATGTTTTTTTTTTAAATAAGTCATTTGATTTCCTTATTTTTTTTTTTTACTACAACCACGGACACAAACTTCAAGACTTGCACCACTACTTCAGATGGTAATAGTAGCCTGTGGATCCATAGTGAATTTAAAGTAGTTTTTATTTGTTTGTGTGAACTCTAGGGCGTTCACAACTACTTAAAATGACCTGTGGATCAATTGCGAATTGAAATACATTGCTGCGAGCTTCTAACAGCTATCTTGCCCAGAGATATGCCTACTGGTCTTCTGCTGATACCAGATTACCGAGCGCAAGCTTAGACGTAAGGAATATGTCACTTTAATGTAACCCTACATTGGGCTCTGACTATCAGTTAATCCCATGGCTTTAATATCTGTTTTTCTTATGGATTCCTAGGCATGTTCTTATTTTATTTAAAGTGTTGCAGAAACAAAATACTTTTAAAACTGTTATACACTTTATTTTTAAGCAACTTACATAGCTACTACTACTTTAAGCAACTTACATAGCTACTTACACATAGCCTTTTTTTACCATGTCAACAAACAATGGTAACTTATCTGAAGGGTTGGTGGCCACTTATGGGCGAATATAAATGTTATTAAATAACAACAGGGGCCAGAAGTCTTATCTAATATTCTAATAAGTCTGTTTTATGTAACTCTCTAGTTTTGTCAACTTTGTTCAAAGCTTGATTGTCAAATGCTCTATTGTAATAGGCATATAATCAAGCTCACAATGAAGTGATAAATATTTCTAGTCTAAACATCACAGTTTAAGATGACACGTACTGAGATATAGAAGCTCACGCATAAAAATTATAAGTAACTTATAAATTGAAATAATTTGTAGGTAAGCCGATTGACAATTGTGTATTATACGTGACTGACTGCGATCTCAACTTACTACCACAAGGTCAAGTGGGAGAACTTGTAATTGCTGGAAAAAATTTAGCTTATGGCTACATTAATGATCAAAATTCAGATAAGTTTGTTGATAATCCATTTTCTACAGAAGTTGGTAAGTATCAAAAAACTTTTTGTCTTTTAAAAAAATAACTTATTAAAATTTTCCAAATTCATTTGAATTATTAAAAAAAACAGTATTTCATTTCCAATGTTGAGGTGCAAATTATTTACAGTGCACTTAAAAATTAAGAAAAAACGAGACATTTTTTTCTTGGTAACATTAATTTTAACCAGGACCCTTTGATATTTTTTTCAGATTTTTTATACACAGCTCTTTGAGATCTTCTTTTAGTGCCTGCTTTTAACTTTCTTATTCTCAGCTTTTGTATTTAACTATTGACGACACATGGAACGGGTTACAGAATGTACGAGAAACATTTGTATTTGTATTTACTGATAGCTTTAAACGTTTCAGGACTAGGCATTGTGTTACACTTCAGAAGACAGGTGTCAATCGAAAAAGAACAATTTTCTTCCTTTGTAAGGTGTGTTTATATACTGGTGCAGTAGAAAACATATAAAATTTATGTCAAGAAGAAATACGCTTTGAAAAATCTGCTGATGAATTAATGTTAATAGCAGGTACTGTAGGTAGAAAAGACTATGGTCCATATTTTCACATAGCAGCTTTATATCCTGATTATGCATTATGTAAGAGTATACGATAGCACCAAATATTTTAGCTGACTTGAAGATTTAGGCAATTAATTGCGTAAGCTTAAGGCAATGATACAAGTAAAAAGAAAAAATCACAAGTTTTATAATGAATCATTAAAAAAATTTTAAGAATTAAAATGTTTATTATAAATGAATACATACTTTATGAAACAATTGTGATAAAAGTGAAATCGCTTTAGTTGTAATAAAAGAACATTTGGTAAAGTCCTAAAAAGTGTTTGCTTCAAATTATGCACGCGCTTACAGCAAACATTACAGACAGAAAGCTCTGGCAACATTTCTGTCGAGGGTGGTGTAAAAGCGTTGATGTGACAAACGCTATTTTCTCTATTGACAGCGTACCAGAACCTTAAAAACGCTCGAGGTAGTGTTATATATTTTTTTACTACGGGCGTTTGTAAAGAACTGATGATCTCTTAATAAGCAAAACAGTCTATCCTGGGCTACATTATACGGTACCTTGGGCTTGCTTCGAAAAATAGCCTCACAGGCGATAGAACTTCTATGATTGTTGTTTGAAAAATAGCCTCACAGGCAATAGAACTTCTATGATGTTTTTAGTTTGAAAAAAGGCGTAAAGGATGTGTATTTTTTTTTTCTTTTGAGAAGTGGAAAGGAACATTAGGATATTGTTCTAAAAAAAGTTGGGTATGATTTGTTTGCCTGAGAAAGGTTAAAAAAAATGTTTTTATTTAGTACAAGATCGTCAAAAATATGTATTTCTTTTTTGTCAATCGTTAGGGCTAGTTTTTATCTGAAAGTAGGTGAGAAATGTTCTTTATTCGAGACACACGCTTATTACTGAAATACGTAAGTTGAACGAAAAAAACATTATACCTACAAATGCACAAAAATCGTTATCAACATTTTCAGTACGAAAGTGTTACCTTTGTGAGGACTTGTCGTGAAATCACAACTATGAATAAAATTACGTCACTCTTGTTTATAATACATTAATTTTATACAAGTGTTCCTGCAATACCTGTTAGAAAATTTTTTACGCCAATGCAACCTAAAAAATATGAGAAATACGGCATTAGCCATTAAATTGGTGTTCAAAATAATAATAATATATATCTTGCATAAGTATAGTTGTATCTTGTTATTTTACCAATCACAAGCACAACTAAATATTTCTTTTTACTTTAAGTTGTAAATATTAATATTTATGGTTTCTTCAAGCACAATAAAAACATAGTTGTTGACTGTACGTTAGGCTCTGTTGAACCTAAAGTGCAATGAACTTTTTATTGAAAAAAACGTTCTTACCGAATCTATATGATTTTTTGACAAATTTGTTTGAAGTATAAAATAAATTATTGTTTTTAAAAATGTTCACCAACAGTCTTAGTAAAAAAAATTAAAAGCGTAAGAAACGTTCTACCAATAAGTGCTGTATGTGAGCTAATGTTTGCAGGACCATGTACATTGTATGGAAAGTAGTAAAAATGTACTTATTCGTTATAAGTGCGATATCAAAAAAGTGATCGATGATGATTGAAGTGTGCTTACGGCGTAAATATAAAAACAAGTATGTTGGTAACCGCATTGTATAATTCAAGCCATATTGTGCATAGCACTAATTTTTGCAAACGTATCAGTAAACAAATAAACCTGCGACAAACTTTGACTCGAAATCAGTATTTTTAAGATTTCAGAGCCTTTTTAATGTACGTATACTTTTTTAATATGTATTAGATGGTTGCGAATTTATGAGAAATTGTAGTGACATGAAGTTAATCTTACTTTTAAATATCAACTGACATGCAATTCACAACATTTTAGAAGCCATATGTAATTATTTGCCTAACCTTCCTCTACTATTTTTTCAATTTCATATTGCATCGCCTTGTTTGCTGTTGCCGTTATTTTATCAAACATTTTCTAGTTTAAATGACATGAATAATTTTTTTTTCTTTTACAACGTAAGTAAGTTTTCAAACACGTATAAAATATAGAAATTAACAACAATTATAAATAAGCTGTATACAATTTTTATTAACAATTTCTTTTTTTTCAAGTATACCAAATGATTGGTAATTGCAAAACAGTGCTCTAATAGAATGAAATATTTTTACAAAAAATCATTCAATCATATTTATAGAAATGGTATTTAATTGGCTTCTCATCTTCAGACCTAATTTTTTTTTCTTGAATTTTCATAACGACATAAATCTATACACAAATCAATCACAAGCAATTTTCGTACAAAAATTGCAATACTTTAGTATTTGACCAGTTAGCTCATGTTGGATACTTCTCTTTACTTTTGAATTAATCCAAGTTTTATTGAAAGTATCCAAGAATAGGCAGGATCAGGTGTCAAACATAAGCCGTTTTTTCCTGCAATTTACTCACTATCACCTAAATATGAAAAAAATTAAAACAAAGCCTTTTTTTACAACGCTGGAGTGGAGGGATTATTTTAAAACATTTTTTAACTCTTGTTTTATTAATAACTTTTAAATAAGTTTCAAGATAATTTAAGTTAAAGCCATGTACATGTTGCTCAATAAACGCTAGCAAAAGTATGTACTAACTCATCTAAAGATCAAAAGGAAGCAGTGGAATTAAGACATGAAATGGCACTGGCAGCCACTGCGGTAGCAATCACAGGCACCTCTGCATTGTTTATCTGTGCTACTGTTACAGTCGGTAACACAGAACGACTGGCGTAATATTCATCATATATTTAATTGGTTTTACAAAATGTTGTTGCTGGTTATTAAAAAATCCTAAGAAATGAATGATGATCCCATAATAATAACAATTCTGAACTTGCTGTGAATATGACAACCTATACCAGTGTTATTATTTTTATAACAACAAATCACTTATCTAATAAAAAAATTTTATTGTTAATATTTTTTAGCATACTGTAAATTTTTCTCGCATTTTGTTGGTTGTATCAAAAAATTTATTTCACTTTTTTTTTAAACGTCACTTCGTTCTGGCGCCTTGATATTCTGCCAATTTTGGGAGCCCTAGTATGCACGTATACATAAGATGTACTATAGAATAAACATAGACGTCAATAGCATGTGTGCGTAACTTGTGTACAGAATCATGGATATAACCATTAAAGTGTACACAGTAAGTGTGTGTCTACTTTTAACTTCTACTGTAAAAGTGTATACATGTACGCGTGTGCACGTGTGTGTTTAAGTATAATACAGCAGTTAACATTAATGCTATGTAAAGTAGTTAATACTATCATTTTATTAAAATATATTACCAAGCAATGTTTGCATGCATGCATGAGTTAAAATAACGAGTTTTATGGGTGGTCTACTGAGAATTAAATTATCGTGGCACACAAAAAGGGAGGTATTGAGTCATGTAAAAACATAACCTTAATTTGTGAGGTTTTTGATTTACCTTTATGAAATGAAAGGGGAATATCACGAGAAAAATTGTATTACGTTTAGTACAAAATAAAATTTACGCAGATATTATTTTCCATGGTCATGTGTATACATAACATCCAAACATTAAGTAGTACGCCATATAAGAATAATAAAGAAAGTAAATTACATATAAAAAAACTATTTTTACAAGTTTCCCAAAGGTATAAAAACATCGCTGCTCACATATAGAAGGGTGTCAAGTTATTTGAAGACATAACCACTAATTTTAGCGTTTTCGATATTTCTACATAATATTTAGGTAAAAAATGATAGAAATAATTATATTAAATTTTTTTAACCATTACAAATACGTCGGATACATTTCTTGCTTATTTTTCTAAAAGTAACGTTTAAAATTATTAAATAAACTTAAAATTGCTAACCGAGAGATAGATTGACCGAATATAGATTCTAATATGGGTGTACGCGTGTGTGTGATCTCAATAAGCAATTATACCGTTAATGAGCATAAAATGAACTTGTTTATTATAGTACTAAACTTTTAGAGCTACAGTGTAAGAGTACTACAAACTTTCTGAAACACATATCAATGTACATGTTTCAAAAAACGTTATGCTATTTTGTTGTCAGATTCGTTTTTTTAATGTAAAAATACATCGATAACATTCAACCCCTCACATTTTAAATCACAAGCTCTTACTATCTTTATTAATTCATGCAAAAAAATTTCTAATTTTTTTAGGTTTTCACTTCTGCAGTGCATTTCATGTTACGTAATCCATTTCTTTGAATTTATCATGATTATGGAAAGTAAATCGTTGGATATTCATCTTAAAAACATCTGCGTATACACATGTACAGTTGATAATTCAAATAATTCATTGAACTTCGCAGTGAAACGTAAAGTTTTCATAGCAACGCTAATTTGTGATGAAAAATATTGTACAAACTTGTGGTGTATTTCAACAGCCATTAACCAATTATATGTAAAGTTTGATAATAAATG